CCCCCCCCCCTACACCCTGACTCTAATCACTTGACAGTTGCTTGAAGTTGATGCTCTTTCTATAGCATGCAAGTTCTACCATCTTCTTTCCAGACTTTACTTGTATTATAAGTACATGTTCTGGAAGAGCAATTAAACAATACATGACATGAAGAATTGGCAATAATATGGTATAATTATTCAGATAAGTCACTATTATTAATAAATAATCTCCTGAGTTCTTTTGTCTTCTCTATAAAATCCATCCATCCATCTTCCAACCAATTATCTTATATAAGGATGCAGTGAGACCTGAAGGGACAAAGGAAGGACACAACCTGCAAAGGATGCCGGTCCATCGGAGGGCACAGACACACAGGCAGAGAGACATACACACACAGGCACAGTGAGACATACAGACACACAAGCACAGACACACGGACACAGAGAGGCACAGGCACAGACAGCGAGAACACACACAGGCACACACAAACACACAAGCACAGAGAGACATACAGACACAGACAGACATACACACACACAGGCACAGTGAGACATACAGACAGACACACAAGCACAGACACACGGACACAGAGAGACACAGGCACAGACAGACAGACAGAGAAAGACACACGGGCACACACAAACACACAAGCACAGAGAGACATACAGACACAGACAGACATACACACACACAGACAGACGCTCAGACACACAAGACACACAGACAGACATGCACACACACACACAGACAGACATGCACACACACACAGACACACACCTAGGAATAGACACACATACAAGCACAAACACACAGTCACAGACACACTGGGACCGACACACAGACAAACGCATAGACAGACACAGACAAACACAGACACACACAAACATGCACACAGACTTCAGGGTAAGTCAGAGAGCCTGACTGCATATCTTTGTACCAAGCACACCACTAAAGTGGAATATTTCTGAAACAAATATGTATATAACTGCGGACAATTCAGAACCAGGCTGCATGTAAAGGATCCTAAATCCTGAATAATTATGTCATAATTATCACGGTCATGGTGACTCATTAGTCTGCATTACGGGGCTTATAGGAATAACTCTGATGCATGGCTGGGAGAGACGGGGCCAGAGATGGACAAGGAGCAAGACAGCAGGAAGCGATATTTATTCAAAAAAGGAAGAAAAAAAAACAGAGGTGGGAAAAGAGGCAAAAAGTGCAGGAAACACGCAGAATGTGTCTCTGCGAGAGCGCGGTGCGTGGGCCGCTGAGCAGGTGTGACATTTGACGAACAGTTTATAAGATGGGACGACGCACATGGCCAGCGCGGACGAGACAGCCGGACACAGAGGCGGCCGGACAGACAGCGGCCCGACAGACTGCGGCCCTGAGACTGCCGGGGTGGCTGCGCGGCCACTTCAGCTACACAACCCCAACCCGCAGGGCACCCTGGTCAGCTTTCAGTTGGCCTGGCAGCAAGGCATAACCCCTCTCAGTCTTTCTGACATCTCTCCCTCCATCTCTCTCTCTCTCTGTCGGTGCGTGGGCTGGAGCTGCTAACTCTCTCGGAATAGCACTGCAGTGCTGACAGAGGGGAGGAAGCACAGGGGGAGGAGGGCGAGTGTTCTCTCCTCTTTGCCTCCTTCATCTAAGCGCATTTCAAACCCATTTTTAAATCCCTCTTTCACGACACGGCAGTGTCCCCACCTGTCCTCTTCGCTGGGACGTTCCGCTCTGCCGCTTCTCACTTCATAGTTATTGCCCTCAGCCTTTCCCAGAACTTTACTGTAACTGTTCAAAACCACCAGATTCAAGGAACATTAAGGTCTTGTCTATAAAACTGCCATGTATGATGTATTACAGCATAGCTACGACCATTAACTTGAACAATATTCCCATTTGGTATATAACACACTATTACATTACTAGTTATGCAACACTAACAATTAACAAGAATTGTAAATAATATACTATATTACATATTACACAAGCAATATATTTACTGTAAAGAAAATTGAATACACAATCATTGCAATTACGTTGTCAACTATTTATCAAAATTGCAATAATTATAATATTTATATATGGCCTTTATTTGCAGTATGTTTGCTGAAATTATGCTGGTGCATTGGAAAAATAAGCATTATCATTATTGAACTGAACTACAGTATACTCTCCTGATGTAGCACTGCAGTCTTACAAGGGGAGCGGTACAGCACACTCATGAAGAGGGAGAGGGGTGTTTTAGCCACATTTAGAGAGCCACAGAGAAGCGAAGAGAAACACTGCGCATTTTGCTGTTACAAAGGTCCACGCAGCGCTGTGCTGGAATGGCAAGCAGCCGAGCGAAGGAGCCGCGCTGTATCGGCGCCTCTCTTAACACTCGTCTTAGTAGCTAATAGCTATCGAGTTTTTTAAATAATAAATGATGTCCCACTGTGCCTGTTTATTGTTTGCGCTTCCCATTTCACACTCGGCAGGTCACTTTCATGTGTGGCAACAAAGGATAAGGGCATCTTGAAATACCGTGTCTTCTTTCTGAGAGTGCAACTTGTTTAGGCAAGCAGATTCAACAATTAGTCCAGATTCCTGATGAAATGAATCCAAAACAGCCGTATCATAGAAGACAATGACACACTCACTGGTGAGATACACAAGGAAAAACAATGGTTATAAATTCTTGCAGGGATATGAGGATGTGCACGGAAATGACAAAGTGATCACTTACACCGTTATTGAGCCGACGTGCCTAGACCAGCATTCCGTGTGTATTCATGTGCACCACACAGAATACAATGTGCATGTCTGTAAATCTGCTCGGTCAGTGTGTCTCCCGTGTCACCATGTGCGTCAGGTGCATCTTCAAGTGTGTATTAATTCCACACTCTTTCGTGGTAAAGCATTTCATTTAAGCGCTTATTGTACTGAAAATATAACACACGGCTCTTTAGTTTTTGAACTGGCATGTATGATGCACTATAAAAGACGCAATTTAAGACGGCATTACTAAAAAAAAATCAAACAAAGAGAAATGCGTAACGGGCCATTAAAGCACAGAGAGAAATAAAAGACTTACCTGCGTGTCGCTCTTTGAATTTCTGAAAGACGTCCCTTCAAAGCCAGCAACGTCAATAAGTAGGTGAATATATAAATAGCTAGTACTAAACATTGTGTTTTTAGAAATTGTATCTTGTCTTGTCGTAGAAATAAACTATGTGCACAAGCGCAACATTTTTAAATGTTTGTGACTCGCAGTTAAAATCATTTCATTTCCATACTTCAAAATTCAAGAATAAGGAAAATAAATTTGCATCAAATATAACTGCTTTCAGAAAAATTTGAAATGTGGTAATGCTGAATATTAATAGGACTTTTTTTCATTCATTGTCTTCTGATTTTCCATCCATCTTGTCAGTTTTCCTCTTGTCTTTCTCCTTAGGATGAATTACTGTCACTCTGGTAATATACTTTCAGAAAATGCCTGTACTGCGCATTTACTTAAATGCAATAAATGTAACTTAAGTGTCTGGGCGTTTTCATGCGCTCTCTCGATTGCACCAACCGTTTATTCTATGAAATAAGTAGAATTGCATTTTCAAGTCAGCTACATTTAAAAATCGATGTTTTGCTCTTTTGTCTTAGATGCATTAGATACCAGATTGCAACAAGCTGATTGCAGAAACTTCAAAAAGCGCCAAAATATAGTCTAATCGGCAGATGCTCTTATTGACGTAAGTAAAACATCTTGAGGAAATGTCGCTACATATTTTCGCTCTGGCATTTCGCTGTAATTTCTCTACAACAATCAATGCGTTACCTCCTTGGCGGACAGCATCTATGTATTATGGAAATCGAAGTAGCTGTTCTCACAACGGTCCGCTCCAGGTGGTGCTTCTTCGTTTATTGGTCGTTCATTGACCAATACGCTGATTCCATTCGTTAACAGCAACACCAATACTGTAGTGAGCTATCCAATCGGTGATGCGACGTGCAGGACATTATTTGTTGTGCTATTGGCTTAAAGATGAAATAATGACTTTATGATTGGTTCCAAGGGCAGGGATTGAAAAACTTTATACGAGAATAGGCAGTGCACACACGTACAGAGGTGCAGAGACCAACAGTTACTGACAACGGTATAATAAGAATAATTAGAAAATAAAATCAAGTATGCAAACGTCGTCTTTACGACCGAACCTGGTTTCACTTGCTCGTATAAATCTTCCCCATTCCCCAAACCGTGCCATTTATTCTTTGACATTAAAAAGCGCTCTGCTCGTTGCCATAGCAACTGACTCATTATAATGAAGTTAATCACGAATATGTACAATAATGTTATAATGAAGTCAAAAGAAGTGTCACTGTGGGCGCTGGGGGATTTTGCTACGGGAACAATTTCCCTGAGCATGCTTAATTAAGGGTAATTAACTTATCATTGTCAAATGTAATTAGTGGTAAAACTATTCAAGTGTTAATACGTAGCACAGCAGCATAGATTGCAGTAGCACAGTAACTTCGGTTCAGTTTACAGAAGTCCACTAGTGGCCATCACTATGCGCTGTCCAAGTCTATGCATGAACTTGGAGCTCTCAGTTAATAAAACCCCCTATGCACTGCGAGTCACATGTAAAATCCTACCAACCTCTGAAAGTAGGTGAGGGTGTTAAAAAATGTAATACTAGACAGGCTAATGGAGAGTTCCAGAAATGTAGCAGTTTAACTGGACATAAGGCATTCTAAACAGCACAATCAGGGTTCCTACTCACTTTCCATTGTAAAACTCCATACTTTTCCAGACTGTACCGGGGTTCGAGGCAGTAAGCTGTTTGTCGCCCCCTGGAGATGTCACCGCAAAATCCACCACCCGCAAAGCTTCTGTCCACCACGTGGCTAACTACTCACCCATGTTCGAAATGTGAAACACCTTTACACATACTTTTTATTTTGCTTACGGTTCACATTTGGTATTCTTTGCTAATCAGTTATAATATTTAGGCTTGACAAGCCAAGCACATGAACACTAGTATGTCTCCATTGCTATAAATTGTTAGTTAGCCTACATCACCATTTACTGGTGGAAATTAATCAAGCACACACCCAACAGACACCCCCACTCCATGGTTTGGGAAGTTGCTATTCAAAAAGCATTGTGTACATCCTGCTGCTGACAATGGTATTTCCTCAAAAACCTATACCAGTGAATTCCATACTTATCCAGGTACTTTGTTGTAATAGTCTGGAAACAGCAAAATATTCCCAAGCTTTTCCTTTCACTATACTCATCCAGACTTGGAAAACACCAAAATCAAAATTGCATACTGCATAATAACCCCGACCAAGTCCTTCAAGATGAAAACAGGACTACCTATAAATGGAGAGTGACAGTTCTTACCGTCCACTGCTCTTATGAACTTCTTACTGAGGGAACACAAGGGGAAAAAAGGCAAAAACATGCTATATGAGAAAATCTACATAAATGCAAAACTGAGGACTCCATTAATACAACAGGTCTGGAAAAACAACCAGCATCTGAATATACTGAAAACAAGGTACATAATTTTTGGCATTTTTATTGTTAATTTAAATAACAAAGACAAAAGGGGGGAAATTCCACAACCTCAAATCTCAACCCACAATTTTGCACATAATTTCTCTGAATTAAAACTATCTTTGAAAAAATCTGGACCAACAAGGTTTCATAACAAAGTGAAACGTATTCAAAACAATGGCTAAGTGCGTAAGACTTAACCCAAACCTGTCATGAAACTGATTCGAATGTAATGTGGGGGACCACAGGAGAAGCGGAGGAGCATAAATAAGATCATCACAAATATATATGCGCAAGTCCAAACGACACCGAAATTCTAGTCATTAAGGACAAAATGCTTCACTGTGCTTGAATGTAAAAAATGGGCAAATCTACTACTGCTAGCAGATAGTCAGTCTAGCTGTTGTGTATTACAAAACTTAATGGCTGTTTATCAGTGGCCTGCATTTACACTGCTTCCAAGATCACATACATGGCAAAGTAAAGTTCAGCCTCTGCTCAGTCTCTTTAAAATCCCTTTTGAAAGAAAGGGCATTACAATTAAATTCCTATGAACAAAAATTACAAAACTAGAAAAAAACCAACATATTGTACAACACTCTGACCAAAATGTGCCAATCTCACCCTTTAAGTTACTCACTTGACATACTTTTGTGAATCAGTTCTAAACTGAGCTACAATTACAACCTCATGCTAAAATGAATTTATGTATAACTGGACACTCTGACTGACCAATATCCTGATTAGTAGTGCATCTGGAGTCATGTGTAAATTTATCTAAAATTAAGTTACCCCATTTGTCTTCCCTCTATTCAATTACACACAAGTGCACAAACCTGGAACTTGATTTGCACCCCCCCATCTCTCCAAATGTAAGCCCCAGCCTGATACCATCCAATCTCAAAGTAATTTGACAGGTTTCAGCTGACGTACGATAGAAACACCAGTCAGTTCAATTTTCGACAAGAAAAATGGCTGAACGTTACATCACACTCCTGCTGAGAGTGTAAGAGCACTTGGGAGGAGTGGGACAGAGCGATTTACTGTTTACCTTCTGATATACACAGATGCAAACTGGACAGGACACTACCTTTAGATGACAACAGCACTGGATGCATTTAACAGGATCAGGACTTGTTATTGCATTCTGCACGCACATTATGCATCATCTATAGGACTGCATTTACACAACATGATGGCACGATTCAAAAGATCCTGAGAGTAACAGAATAATTCAGTGGGGAGGAGGAAGGGATAATAAACAATATACTCTGTAAGAAAAATCACAGGAAAGGGGGCTGAGTAATAGTAGATAGCTTGAGAGCAAATATCCCGGTCACATCTGCATATATACTTGTATCACTCGCACGCGCACACACATGGACACATACACACGCACGCACACATACATACACACTGCTTCAGGTTCACATTAGAGCCGCCTCAAAGCTCTCTTTTTATCCGTCTTCTTCTTTCCAACGGCGTTAGCATTAGGATTGCTACCGCTACCACTCCCACCCCCGCCTCCTCCATTGCTGCTGGCCCCCACGGGGACAGGCCCCATCACCACCGCCCGTTTATTGGGGTCTCCTGCATGTTTTTTGGGTTGGGGCCCCTCGCCAGGTTCCTGGGGCCCACCCGAGGTCCCTCCTGGTGCCCCCATGGCGTGGATTTCGGTGAGGAGTCTGGCACGAGAAGCGTATTCCGCATAGTCCTCCAGCAGCAAGCGGCCGGCTTCTTCGTTGAGGGCCGACTCAGGATTGGGGTGGATTAGCAGGCATTTGATGGTCTGTGGAGGTGGACAGAGGCAGCAGGTAAGGACAGACTTCCTCAAAACAGAGAGGCTAAGACTGTCACGAACAGCAATGCCCTTACGAGTAAAACATGTCTGAGACCAAGCTCTGCCCTCCAGTCCCTCTTCAGGACGTTGACACAGATCTCGCCTTTGTGACCCACGTTGGGATGAAAAATCTTGGTCAAGAAGTATCCCTTGGGTGGCGCGGCCGGAAAATCCTTCCCAAGCACCAGGCGCATTCGGAACACCCCTCCGGCAAACGGCGTTCCTTCTTTATAGGGAAACCAAAAGAGAGCTGAAAGTGACTACTAGAATCTTATCACCTTTGCTGTGATGAACCCCCCCCCCCCCAACTACTTTCTACGAATATTTGTTTCCAGGGTTAAAGCAAGACTTCATGTCTACCTATATTCTACAGAAATCAGGATATGTTCTAGTCCTATACCCAAAGTATTAATTTAAACACTCACAATAGGAAAAGTTCTCCAAAGAATTCCAGAAACTGTCAGACCCCATGTTAAATAGATGGACATACTGAAAAGCTACACCACTTATACTTCAAAATGACTGAATTTAGCTGAAAGGCTCCCAGTAACGTGTACTGTAAGACAATGTAATACCTGGACCCTCAATGGCCGTGTGCAGCTCTGTGATGTCTTCTTCACTAGGATAGATCTTGATACCCTCGGGAGGGTCAGCAGCCAGGGCAGTGACCTCCTTGTACACCAGGCGCAGAACCCGAGGAGGCAAGTTCTCCACATTTGAGTTCTGGGGGGGGGGTTGAAAGATATATTACATCCTCAGCAATCAACAACAGTACCTGTCATTCTTCCATAACAGGAGATATAAATGATCAAATCTGTTTAACAATTTTCTGTAACCCAGAGCAAGGTGAGCAGGAAATGGATGTATGATTGAACATATGTTTAAAACATAAGCTACTCTCACCTAACACGATATATTCGTATGAGGTAGACTACTCTTGTACCTAGTCAGTTTCTGGCAACATCTTCAGTTTCTTCACATTTCAAATAGTACATACTATACTCATCCAAAACGTAAACTTATATCACTCAAAGCATACATACACGTCCGTAAATGAGCAATACAAACTTTATACAACAGCTTACATATTGACAGGCGCAGATAACTGTGTAAAGTAAAAGCCACAAACCGGCTTGTTAAGAGCAACCTCACCTACTTATGTACTTAAAGCCCTAATAAACGATCCGGTTACCTTGAACTGGACCGCTAGCCGCCGGCTAAGCTAGACGGTGGGTAATCATCCGTTGAGATGAACCGAAAACGGCACTATAACTCACCATATCTCCGGATGGGGAGCGAATCCGAGTTACAGCAGGTCTCCAAATTCACGGCACGCAAGACGGCGGGGGCGCCGGGGTTAGCTATCGCGGTGACGGACAGCGTCACTAGAAAACAGCGCCGGAGCAGCTGGCGTGACGGCGAACCAGCTAACTAACCCAAATGGGGGACCGGCTTAAACGGAACTGATAAACCAGCCGCGCGA